ACACAGAAACAAATTTGACAAAAGATAAAATTAATATGTGCAGGTTAATTTAACATATTTTAAACATCAAAATAAAATGAATAAAGATTAAGTTTACCTTTCTTTACAACATTTGCTCAAAAAATACTACATTTGGTATTTTAAAAACGCAGTTTTATAACGTTTATGAAATGATAAAATATCAAGTTGATATGTTTGTATCATCAATTTGACAGTAATTATATCGGCTTTTTATTAATATGAAATAAGGTGGAAATTACCCTGTTTCATATCGAATTTTCTTTCTGTGCACCAACACGGGCACAAGCACACCCATGGCCAAAGCAATAGCAATGGAAATGGCAATGACAACAACGGCGGGCGACAAACAAAAGGCAACCGGCAAAAGTCGCCGAAAAAGGCAGGGGCGTTGGCAAAGGGGCGTGGCAGGAAGGGCCAGGGGGATAAATAAACGTAACAAACTTGGTGGATGGTCAAGGATACACAGTGGAATGGATGTCCTGTTTTTGAATAGGAAGTGATTTCAAAATTCTTCTTATATTTAGTCGATTACTAATATATTATCTTAATTTTTAAGAATATTACTTTTAAGGCATTACTTTTATCTTGAAATAGATCTGAATTTAAGGGTAAATTCGGTTAGAGGCAGTGGCGAATCCAGGATTTGGTTTTTGAGATGGGGATTTCAGAACAGATTTTTTGTTGCATACTTTTACTTTTTACATACTTACTGACTAAGAGATTTTTCGATTTAGATTTCATTTAATAATTAATTTTTCATTTAATTAATATGAATTTCCCAAAGTGTTGGCCCTTCTGTAGGCCATACTCTCGGTTCTCTCGGTTCCGTGAGGTTGGTTTTGGTCTCCATTTGATGGCGGCTCTTTGGTTTCGTTTGGTTTGGTTTTCTGTGTTCTGTTTTCTCCTTTTCTTGTTCTGGTCATAGGATGGTATTTTTTCTTTTCGCCCTTTTGTTGCCGCTTTGAAAGGCAAAGGCAAAGCGAACACTGGTAACCAGTAACCAGCAACCAGTAACCACCGCCTGGTGAAAACCACCTTGTGACCGAGCCAACTGCCTCAATTTGCATATGGAATTTATGCTTTTGATGGCGATGGCGCTGGCGACGCCGGCCAAAGTCAACTGCATGTTAATGAAAGCCGAATGCATAAGTAAGCCCAGCCCAGCCCCCCCTTTTCCATTTTCACCCGTTTCCATTTTCCACCCAGCATCCAAGGAAGGCCCCCAACCACCCCACATCACCCTCCTCTTATCGCGGACTTTTTCATGCCGCCGTGCATTTTTGAAAAGCGAAAAGTTCAAGGATTGCTTGCTGCTTCTGTTGCTGCTGCAGAGACGTCGTCGTGCGCTTAGATTCTGTGCAGATTTCGGTGCCCCGCAGTGGCCAGGTAACCCCAAAAGGCAACAATCAGCACAGTACAGCAGCAACATGAACACAGCAGCGGCAGCACATAAACAGCAACATGGCGCCAAAAGCTGAACTACATAAAACATAAAGCTGGGCAAAGGAACCATTGGGCTTTCGGGAACAGCGAACTATTATTCAACCACAAAAATAAGCAAAATTAATAATTATTATAACCAATCCAGGAGGAAGAATTCTTTTACAATCACATATGTTGTAAAAAATGTAATAGGCAGGTGAAAGAAACGCAATATTGGGCAATTAAGGACCTTACTTTCAGAAAATTATATTTTTGTAAATTTTTTATTACATTTTCCTCCATATATTTTTGCCAGAAATGAACAAAAAATAAAGTTGGCAGATTTAAATGCAAATCGATTGGGAATTTTATTACGAGTTCAACGATGTATCACATTTCATATGTTGACTATTATTTTCTTTGTTTCGGCCAAAATACTCATTTGTTTTAGTGAAAAATCAGGATTTGAGTTTTTTTGCCAAAACAGGATTTGCTATAATTTGGCCAAAAATTGTCCAATATCGATGATACGTACTGTTTTCAACAACTAACAATCCAATAAATAAGTCTCTTTTACTTTTTGACTGATTTAGAAAAATTATTTTGCCGACGAATTTTTTCATTTTTTGGTAAGGGGTTACATAATTATTTTTTACGAAAAATGGTCAAAAAATAAAATATACAGGTTTAAATGCAAATCGATTGGAAATTTGATAACGAGTTCAACGAGGTATGACATTTCATATTTGGATCATTACTTCTCTTGATTTGGCCAAAATACTGAGTTTTTAGGTGAAAAATCTGAATTTTGTTTTTTTGTAAATATACAAATTTTTCTTTTGCTGTAACTTGGTAAATCGAAGATGCTTACTGCAATGCGTTGTCTACTCACAAACACACCTTTAGTACAAGAGTCATGCCCATATAAGGAATACAGTTGTTAAACATTGTGTTAGGAACGCAACACAAAGAAGACCTTTATTGAAGTTTTCTCAAGGCTCATGGTTCTGCCTGAAAAATGCCAAGGAACTACTAACTTTTGCGCTGTTAATCCGCCAGAAATGCCAAAGTTGAACCCATCGATTCTTTAAACAGTCTTTAAAATGTAGAACACATTTTGAGATGACCATACTGACATTTCTTGGGATTCAATCGGGGGCTTAGGGGGTCTCTGTCCAATCGAGATCAACGTTGAGACCCACACAAAAGACTGGTAAAAAGATCAAAGACCCAAGACCTCCCCCTCAATATGTTGCCTTTCACTTGCAACCTGCAACTTTTCTTGCTTTTTTGTTTCGTTTTTTTTTTCGCAGTGTCAACTTTAAAATGTAACGGGCTCTTCTGGTGGGGAAGCCATTCGTCACTTGGCGCTCGGCGTTCGGCTCGCTGCACGACAAACATCCAATTAAGCTATAAAAATCTTAATTTAATTATTTGCCACACGAACAAAGAGCCGCAGAATGGATGATGGAGATTGGGGTTTGCAGTTGAAGAGTTGGCTTTTAGAAGATGCAATAGATGGGGGGAGTTTGCGTTCGAAAAGCCACAGCCATTGCCATTCACATCCAGCATACAGCATTCACATCCCCATTCGCATTCGCATTTGCAGTTTGGAAAACGAGTGCAGCGGCGGCGAGATGACGACAACGATTTATGGTGGCCGGTTTTTCTTCATTTGGGCGCTGCTCCGAGCACTGAGCTCTGAGCACTGAGCAAAAGCAAAAAAGCACAGAAATCAAATAGTAAAAAGCAAAAAGCAAGAGCACGAGCAGCCAAGCAAGCGAGCAAACGAGCAACAAGGCAGCATGCATTTTTCATGAATTAGTTCACATATAAAAGTCAAATGCAGACCCAGAGTTGGAAAACGGGCCAAAAACTAAGGGGGCGGGGCACCCAAAAAGGGGGCGGCGGGCGAATGGCGAACAACTGGAGTTGGCCGGAGGCGCATAAACAGATTTTGTGGCCGTTGTACACACACTTCGAGAAAAAAAGGCTACAACGCACTACACAACCCAGAACCAGTCAACATAAAAAAAATAGAGAGGGAATTGAAAGGAGTTTTTCGAAGCCGACTTACAGTAACGGACATACTAAGAATATCCTCATACAAAAAAACACAAACATTGCAGAATAAAATTTAAAGTAAATTCTAGTTTTCTTCAGATATAAAATCTCAAAATGTAGACTAGCGTAAAAATGCAATATTAGTTTGTATTTTCCAATTATTTCCGAGTTTCGGTTTTATTTTTAGATTTATATGTCAAGCCAATTCCGCTACCGCTTCAACTTCCCGTTTAAAATAGGCCTCATTTTATAGATTTATATTAAATTAGATATCCAAATTTTTCGAGTATTTTTTTAATATTTTCTAGAAAATATATTAAATGATGAATGAGTGTATCGTCAAGGACTCAAAGTCAGTGGAATTCGGCAAACTTTCAGGGCAGAGATAATGGGCAGGCGATAATGCGAATTGCCCGGGGGCGAAAAGTGTGGAGAATATTCTTTTTTTTTTTTGGATAAAAGGTCTAAGCCGTAGCGAAATCGAAATCAAAGCCAACTGCCTGAGTGACCCAAAAAACAAGAAAAAAAACAGGAAATCAACCTGGATCTCTTGTTGGGTTCCAAAAACCGAAAAGCTCAGTCAGCAGGATAAAGCGAAAACGTTTAATGTGAGCTTGTTGTTTGCCGTTGTTGGTTGTTTCTTGTTGTTGGTTGTTTGTTCGTTTGTTTTTTAGCCTGTTGTTGTTGTTGTTGGCATGCCCGTTGGCCATTTCATGGAGCCACCAGCCACTTGATACAAAAACAACAACAACAACAGAACTCTGAACTGAAAATGAGGAAAAGTGGGTAAACTGGGGTGGCTGAATTTCAGGATTTCGTTTGATTCTAGGGAAATGGAAGGGGGGAATGAGTACAAGTGCACGGTGAACGGAACATTGAGCAAGTTAAAATATAATAAATAGGCTTAAACACACCAACATATGCCTGAGTTTGCTTTACTTTTTTCATGGCAAACACAACAACCCAGCAAAAGAGGAAGCTGAAACACATTTAAATCTTCAAAATGACTGGCTACGAAATACCGAAATGTGAAATATTATTCTGAAGAGCCATTTGGGCGAAAAAAATGTACCAGTTTGAGTAAAGTTATAATAATAATTATAAATGTTTCTTTTTTTAAGTTAGGACCATTATAAAACAACTGTGCTTTATAATAATATTCGTTAAGACAACTCAGATGAGTGGGATTGTTAAAAAACCTTGGACCTATTTCATATTTATCTTGGAGTTCGGAGAACTGTGTATCTCTACTTCTTACTGATGATGATAAGATAACTACTACAAGGTTGTTCTAAGTAAATGCAACAATTTTGTCGCCTGGTCAAGTGGAATAATTTGGGGCATCTACACGATTTCTGTCAACGACACATCTTCTCGATTTTTCCTTGGGGGTTCATCCCCGTTCTCCCCGTTCTCCCCGTTCACCCAACACCCAACTCAATTTCAATTTCAGTCTGCAGTCTGCAGCCAATTGGGCCGGGAAAAGCACTCACCTGATGGACGCCTCTAAGCCACGAAGGCGGATGAATTCTGGGGCAACTGGCCGGCTGCTGTGTCGCTGCTTCTTGCTTGGCGCTCTGTTCTGTTCGTTCGTTCGGCTATTGTGGTGCTGTGGTGCTGCAAGAAACAAGAAACAAAAAGCACAATGTTCGTTGAGTGGCTCGCTGCTCGGTGGAAATTCAAAAAGGACTTAAAGGCAAGAGGAAACACTCGAAGCAAGAGCCAAAAGGTCACAGACTTGGCTTGAGGTTTACCTCTAAGCTTATTAATTCTATTTGCTCCGTGTCTCGAGTGGAGAGACCGAAAAAAAAAATAAGTGTATATGAAATTGAAAATATAGTGCCCCTTAGCAGCATCGACAATCGCATACACTTGGAAAAATTAGGAACGGAAAAATAATAAAAATCATATTCAAGAAGAAACGTTCCTAAAATCAAGATGAAATGCTTTAAAGTTAGTTTTTCAAGAAGAAGGTTCATAAAATTAAGATGAAATGCTCTCAATATACTTTTTCAAAAAGAAATATTCTTAAAATCAAGATGAAATGCTCTCAACAATATGTTTTTTAGGCGAAAGTGGTTTTTGAGAATTTGAGATTAAATTGATCTTGAATAACTTTTTAAATATAGAGAGCTTCGTACTGAGAACAGCTGTTTTCCTAGGTGTATGCGAAGGGGGAAACATAAAGGGCCAAAAGGGCAGAGGCTCAGGCGTGAAAAGTCCCCAGATATGCACACGATATATACATAAATATACACATACTATATATGCGGGAATGTGCGGTTCAAGGCTTTTCCTCCACTACCTTCTGTTGTTTGTTGGCCCACTTTCGAGGGTGGCGGCGGCAAAAGTGAAAGTGAATTATTTAAAACAATTGCAATTGGCGTTGATAAAAAGTGCACACCCGGGTCGCAGTCGCAGCGTTGCGTTATGTTGCTGTTGTGTTTTTGCTGCTGGAAAAGTGCCTTATCGCCCCAAATCCCCAGATATTGCAGGCACGCCCCTCAAGGTCGAAAGTTGGAATTTCGGTTAACTAGCAGATGGGAGCTGAAGATACCATACAATACATCTTATGGGATGGTTATTACTCCCACCTAAAACTAACCCGTTGCTTATACAACAATTATTATCGCCACCAATATTGAGACAATGAGAAATATATTACATTTTTTACTCAGAAATTAATCGATTTAATCAAAAAAGACCGATAAATTCGATTCATTTAAAAATTTGGTATTTTTAAACATGTTATCTCTGGTTATTTTGAGAGTTTAGCCAGCCCAAAAATCCCTTAAACCCATCAATTTGTGGGTTTAGCCATGGCACAACCACTGATTTATTCGGCCAGATGGAACTTAATTGAAAGATTCCTGCTGGCTGGTTGACTGGCTGCTCGGTCTCTCTCACAGTTTTCAGTCTCCCAGTTTTCAGTTCTCAGCTGGCTGTCCGCTTTGATTAATGATTGTCGACAAGTGCAACAACGGCCAGGCCACGCCCCCTCTTTTTTTTTTTGGCCCACTGTCCAGTGGCCCTGCGAAGAGAGCCAAAACAAAACAAAATGTCAGTCAGCTGGGATGTCAGCTGGGATGTCAAGAAGAAGAGCAGAAGGAGAAGAGCAGCTTAGCTGGATTGCAGATTGCTCATACGCAGCGTGGTCCCCTTGAGCCAAAATGAAGTTGCTTGCGGTGGCTGCTGCTGCTGCTGTTGCTAGTTGCCAGTAGTTTTGAACAGTTGACAGGAAGCGATGCAGAGGCAGAGGAGAGGCAGCATCATGATTTATGTCGTTTTATTTAATTTTAATTGAAAAACTTGCACACGACGAGGACAAACAGCCGAAAAAGCAACCCCAACCCAGGCAAATATAATTAAAATGGCATTTGTTCCCCCTTTTTTGGCCACCTATTTCTTTGGCAGCAGCAATCTGCAGCTACCAGTTACCAGCAACCAGAGCTCCTGGAAATGGAAATGGAAGTGGCAATGGAAATGCAAATAAATAACAAGACAAAGGCTCAAATGCAAATAGAATGACTTTATTAAATGGTCGGAGGATAGAAAGAAAGGCTCACAATTGTTTATAAACTTCACAGTTCACAGTTGGCAAATAAGAAAGGCACGAGGCAAGAATATATAGCATATTAAAACCAGTCGAGTCAGGAGGGGGGACGACTTTATAGAGGGGGTCACGACGAGAATGAAAAGCCGTGTCTAACAAGCCACGCGACCTTTTCTTTCTGATTTTTCTTCATGTTTCTTTTTTTTTGTATTTTGTATTATGACAAATGCAAATGACACACTCGAAAAAGGGGCTTGCTGGTAGAGCGGAAAATATGAACTGTGGACGAGAGTGGGCGCAGTCTATAAACAAGACATTACAACGGCAATAATACAACAACCAAACAGACACAGGAGAACCAGTCAAAAGCCGCACAGTGGCACCAAATCACAAAATAGCAAGTGACCAACTAACGAAGGAAGATAAAACAAGAGTTACTAAGCAAATCGACTGCTTGCACTGCTTGCATTCACTCACCATTATTTACTCATAACTTTTTAATGAATTACCCGATTTTAAAATGTTCTTCTACATTTCGATGGGGTTTAATAAACACAATATAATTGCATTTACACATTTACAAATTCTCCTCTGGGGAACATTTCTGGGAAATACTGGGCAAAAGAAAACTCAAGGGATTTCCTCCAGGCTGCTCGTTCTCCAGTTCTCCGCATTTCTTGGCACATTCCCCACGGTGCGGCAGTTGCAGAAAAAAAGGAAAATATATATATATATATTTATATATATTTAAGGGGCAGGGAGTTGGCAACCAGAAAAACTGCCGCCAACGCCATAAATCATGCGGCCAGCAGCAGCAACAACAAAAGCAACAACCACGACTGACAACCAGCAACAGAAATGTAACAAAAAAGTATAAACATAAAAAAAAGGGAAATTAAATAACAATAACAAGGTTATTCTGCGAGTGTTGCTGGCGTTGCTGCGATAACGCTCTTGCTTTTGCTTTTGCCTTGCTTTTGCTTTGCTTTTGCTGTTGCTTTTGGTGCTGCCAACTAAGTGCAGCCGGGCAACATGGAAAACATTTCGAGTGTGCAGCAAATTGAGTGTTTTTATTGCATTAACATAAATAAATTAGAATGCCGGGGAATGGTCTTTGGTCTTTGGCATGTTGCTGCTGACTCACAACAGCGCGTGTTTCCAGCCAGATCGGGCAGATATACGTATATATATAATATATGTATAGCACAGTATATATGGTACACCGACTTGTTGCTACTGCCTTTTTCGAGGGGTGTAATATTTCTGGCAGCAAATTCAGGTTCAGCACGTTTGCATCGCAGCCACTTATGTTGCTGCCAGAGCAAAGAGTGTCCAATGGCAACGACATCTGAATCTGAGTCTTAGTTTGGGGCTGAGGAAAGGAAAATCACGTTGCCACGTGCCACAGACAAATAAGAATTTCATAACTCTATGTGGGCAGTGAATTTTAGCAAGAAAAACATCAATGGGTTTGGTTATCGATTTTATCGAATTTTCCTCTTCAAAAAAATGAAATTAATTACTTGTTAAAATACCAAGTATAAATGCACGCATAATTTAAATTACAAACGTTAATGCACACCGAAAATCATCAAGGATTTGCTTATCGATAGTCAAATAAAAATTTCGCAGGAAAAACATGGATATTATCGATATTTTCATCATCGAACAAATCATAAGAAATTCACAATTCTATCCATGATTTAATAGACTTATCAACAGTAATGTAGTAATGACAGCTGCTGCTGTCAGGTCATTCAGTATTGCCTGATCCTTGAAAAACACACCAGCCTTGTGGCAACACTGGCCGCAAAATTGCTGGGACAGCAACATCGCAACATCCACATCCACATCCACCGCCTGCCTGTTGGCACAAATGACAAAACAAAGCTTTAAGCTGTTATTCCTTTTAGCCAGTGTCAATAAAACGAAATTAAGAACTTTAAATGGCGAGGCGAAAGACAATTTAATCAAGCCAACAACTGCAAATGAATGCCCAGAGCAGAGCAGCAGCATTTGCATTTGCATTTGCATGCAACCGCAGCAACAGGAGACGCAACAGCAGCAGCAGTAGAAACAATCAAAAAGTTTTTAAAACAAATTAAAACTTGACGACAAGAACAGGAAGGGAAAAGGAGAGGAAAGGCAAGGAAAGCATGGTTTTCTTTAAATTTATTATGCGGTCAATTGCAAGATGTCCGAAAAACGAGTGACCGAGACAGGGATAGAAAAAGCTGCAGCTTCATTAGCCGTCCGGCAAAAAACACAAAAGTTAGCACAAGAAACTTTAGCTTCGTCTTTCTAACGCTTAACTGTTTACTTAATTTGTTTCAGCTATTAATAAAACGCAAACTATTCAAGGTATTTACTGGCCAAACAAAAGTTATAGTCTTTATTTAGCAGTTACGACGGCATTTACGTAGGCTTTTACCTTAAAATAGAAGGTAAATTTATAGTTTCATATAATATAGATATTAGTTACTATTATAGATATTGAAGACTTCACAATATACTTTATGATTTATTTTGTAATTAAATTGACAGACAATGATTATTTTATTTGTGAAAAGCATTTAAAAAAGAGCAATAAATACAAATATTTAATTTAATTTTAATTAAAAATGCAATTGTTATGTGGCATAGCAATTAATCCCTGTTTTTAGCCACTTATAGCTCGAAGTTATGGTAAACTTGTGCGAGTTTTCTCAATTTAAATAAACACTTTCAATGCTCATTCAATAGTTTTTGCTCTTGGAAAATTCACAGTTCACAGTTAATCGTAAATTGCAATTGAATGGCAGACGATGGCCACGCCCCCTTCTGCCCTTCTGCCCTCAGAGAAACGCAATCAAACGCGATGAAAACTTGCAACAAACACACAAAAAGCGGCGAAAAGTTTTTGGGAAAGGGGAAGGGAAGGGAAAATGCTCTCAGCTGCAATTGCAAACAAACTTAAATCGAATTCATGACAAATGATGCGCGAATTTTTCATTCGCCTTTGAGGAACTACAACGGAAAATTCGGAAAATACTGATCAAGAGTGTGCTGAAAAAAGGGGGCGTGG